TTTTACATTTCTGATATTTTGTGAATGCATGGTCCATTGGTCCAATTTTAATGTCACTGCATACTAGAAGAAATAGTAAAGTATAAATAATATGTTTACCATTCCATTAGTAAATCATTTAAATTGTGGATCTTATGCCGATCATGTTTTGGGTTTAAACAAAGAGTGAAAGAGGGTTGTAGAAAACCAAACTTGTGATTAGGCCAAAAGACAATATTATATTTCACGTATACCTATAAATGCAAAAAAACTGATTCTAGGTGATTTGGTACGTTTTTGAGTTAAATAACAGGAACAACAACTTTTCAAATTAATTTTTAATTAGCCTTTTTGTTATTCCATATCCAATTATTAGGAAGATATTCTTTTTTCTATTTCCAACTATAAGCATACAATACACAATATTGTCATTTTTAATTTTATAATAATTTATCCAATTTCTGATTATATTTCAACTTGATGTATGTAATGCAATAGATGTTATTTAATGCTTCAACTTTAACTTTTCTTCAGAAATGTTTTAACCAAGATCTACCATCACAATACATGAATTTGGTTTGAGATAAGATTTTACATTATAAAACATGAGGGATGTGTTATGTATATATATTTAGTACTTATTAGTTATGATGTAATAATTTTATAAGATATAATACTTTCAAGTTCACAACAAATATTTGGGAAGATTTTCAAGTTCAGCACATATATTTGGGAATATAGTATTAATATATTTACTAGTAAGAATTAGTTCAACTCAATGGGATTTTTGTTGTGTTTTTGCGATACTTTACCTTGGATATTGTTGCAAGAAACTTTATTCATTAATATAAATATTGAGTAGTTCAATTCAAATTTTAAAGTATTTCTACACTTGGGGTAATTTACAAGCTTATCAAAGTTCAATATAATAACTTACAAATTGCATATTCAAAAATTAATGTAAAAGTTACACCTAATAAAATTTATGTATTCAGCAATTGAGTTTTTTTTCTCTTCCAAATCTACGTCCAATAATCAAATCCACTACTTTAGTGTTTTTTTTTTCATGTATATTTATTCATGAAAGCACAAATTCTTACGGTAACATATAAGTTACAAAATTTTTAAAATATTTTCTGGAAGATATACTTGATAAACTTGAAGCCTTTGATGTTTAGGATAAAGTTTATTTATATCCTATAAAAAACGGAGAAGAGAAAATCACACTCCATAACTAACTAAGATTCTATACTACTTAATATAAGGATACTTTTTGACATTTACAAAACAAAATAAGATTTACAAATATAACTGATCTAGGAAAAATGAAAGACGTGTGGGCAGCCCTCCCCCCTTTTCCTCCTTCACACCATTTCTTAAAGACATAAACATGTTTTTCATAAAACACATAGTTATTGTACACAATTTTTTTTAATGTATGTGTCACTCATATCATTAATTGCTTATTCAAAAGAACTTTCTGAATAAGTAATTTATGATGTGAGTGTCACACATATTTTTCTTATATTAGAAAAAGCTTGTTTAACATGCCTGTTTCACTATTTTAAAAGATATTTTTGTCTTTTCAATCTTCTATTATCACTACACGTCTTTTCCATTGTTTCTAATTTACACCTCACTTGTCTTCATCACTTTATACTCCACGATTCTTTGCACATCAAGTTCTTTCTCCTTTCTGCAGCATTCTAGCCAGGTAAGTCTCTTCCGTATTTTCATTTAGTTTTTCGTATCATCTGTTTTCTTGAAATTGAAGTTCAGAAATCTCTCCAATTTATCTCTCTTTCACCAAATTTGATCTGGTTGTGTCAACATTTGTCTTTTTCCCATTTGGGTTTGCTATTGATGTTCGATTTTCCTTGTGTTTTGGAAGTCCCAATAATTTTAATCTTTGTGCTTTCAATTTTAACTAGGTAATTATGCTTTCCGTATTCTATGTTTCTTTGGTTATTCCTATTTCAGATTTTTGTTGTGTTTCTTCATATGCAATAATTAATTTGGTTTTTTCCATCGAAATTAACTTTATGGGTTTCTTTATTTCAGTTAGGTGCTTTTTTAAAATTTCATACATGGGTTTTCCATCGCAATCAATTTTCAGGGCTATTGTGGATTAAACTTGGAGTTTCTTCACTTTATTACATTGATATTTAGAAATTATTTTCACTTGTTGTGTCAAGTTAAGGATCTACAATAAGAGGAATTGACCTATTGATCTATCAGTAGATTTAGGATAATTATACTAACCTTTAGAATTTAAATTATCACTGATATATGAGTAAAATCCATTTATTGGTTGGAAAAACAATAGGAAAATTTCAACAAGAACTATGTATATCACGAGTTTGAACTCTATGCTTGATACAAAGTCGAGGAAAGTATTTAAGTGGGATTAGTAGGATCATAACGGGGATTTTGAACTCTGTCCTTGACCTAAAATCGGGGAAACTATTTAAGTGGAATCATAATGAAGGGGCATATCCGTACTCTTGACTTTTCTAGATGAACAACCGAATAAAAATGAGTCTCTTCTTGACTAAAAGGATTTCTCTTAGTTTTAGCCATATAGTTATCTAATTTTATGATGAGGCTTTAAGTTTACTTCTTAAAAAGCTCGCATGCTTCAAGATTGAAGTATATGATCCAGCCCTACTATGAAACGTGATTTCAAAACTTGATATTATAGAAAACTTTCAAATTTTGATTCCAATGAATATACACATATAAAGCCCATCACTAACTTTGATCTTAGGTGCAAGAGTTGTAGTACATGACCCCTATTCCAGAATAGGTGACAAAATATTATCTTATTGAAATACCATTTGAAACATTGACAGCTCACACTTTCAAACACACAAGTATTATCTTTTTTTAAAAAATATTATTCTATGTGTTGACACCCAATTTCGATCCCCCGACGAAGGTTAATTTATCGAGCTACTTCAAGTTTAAACAGTCGAATATAATTAGTTTCATAAAATGGTAATGAAATAATAATAATAATAATAAAATAATAATAATAATAAAAGATGATAATGACATTGGGCGAGACTTTTATTATTTCGTTTAAATGCGTTACTTTTAGCTTAGCCTTATAATAACTTATGTTTTGGATTGATTATTTTATAAGTAACTCGATTATTTTAACTTTGTTAAAATTAAGAAGCTCATCAAACTAATTAATGTTCATTCATCTCTTTTGTTTACTTCCGTGGAATTCGCCAAGTGATCTAACTCGGCTAATTTTTCGATCCTAAAGCCATTTTGGGGCCCTTATAAAATATTTTATGGCAATCTCATTTGCCCATCCCACATTCAAATGCTCATTTGTTCTCAAATGCAGGCCCAATGCTTTTTCTTGTTAAATTATCAGAAGCCCAAGAATTTCGAGACAAGCCCATTTCTTTTATTCCCATCCCTTAAAGCAGCAAATTTCATTTGTCCAATTTCAAACCCAATTCTCCAGCCCATACCCCTTTGAACTGGTCCACGCCTGCTTCTTTCTTCCAGAGAAGAGCAGATACGACTTTAGAGTCAACAATAGACGCGTGAAGAAAAAGGGGCAGCAAACGCTGTGCTCCTCACGCTCGGCGGAACAAACACACCTCCTTGTCTCCTTTATACTGATTTCAGCTTTTAGTTGTATGATCGTACGCCTCCAGCTGGAAGAGACCGTTTCGAATCGTCCTTGCTCTTGTGGATGGGTGCCACGTCGAGTGCAAGGACGAAGCGAAATAATCCGAGCCATCCTCTACCATGTCATCCGGATTTGGTGGGATTTGGATAAGTTGTAGTACGAAAGGCAACTGCCTTTGTCCTCGAGGATTCTTTTTGAATTTTGATGATCATTTCAAGAAATTCCGAGTTTTCCCTTTTCCCCCCATTTTCGAAAACCCTAGTTTCTTCTCCTATAAATACATTCTTATTGTTCTTGGAGGATTCTTTGTTTTGTTTCTTTGCTTGTATAATGTGAAAATTGCCGGCATCGAACGGGGATTAACTTAGTCATAAATATGTGAATATTGTTCCTCGTGTGGGTTTTCAAATATGGAGATCGTAGTTAGAACGTGAGATTTTCCTGTTCTGTTGTATGAGCTTCAAAAGTTATCTTTTTAACTTTCGAGTGTGATCATGGTTGTTGAGTGTTGCTATGTCGTAGTCTCTAGAGCTGTTGATTCGAGAATGTCGTCCAAGCATGTATGTGTGAACCTACTGTCCTATATGGAATTTTGCAGTTCGAAACCCATAAACGGTAGCAACAGTTGATCCCCTCACTCCCTGCCTAATGTTGTTGTTATTTTTGTTTTCCTGTGATGTTCTCTTCCAGTATCTCTTCGCAATCCTTGTCTCGATATGTTGTGTTGTGTCACCTTCTTTTTATCATTTTTGAGTCTGTTCATAGCATTGTTGTCTGCTTTAGCTTCCTTCTCCTATAAGTTCTAAGTCGTGAATATTTGTTGATAAATATCGAGAAAATTGCTTTGGAGATTATGTTAGGTGTTAAAATATATTAATTCAATTTCGTATAGTTATAATCAGTTGAGCCTTTGTCTTATCTCTATAGAAGTAGCTCCAATGTTTGCTTGGCTCCAACTTCAAAACCTTAGCTTACACACGAGAACCCAGATGTCCAAGTTTTCATGATCTGTATCCATTTACTCCATTTGTTTAATTTGGTCTTTATTTTGGTGTCTATGTAGTCATGAAATTAGGTGGATTCCATGTTATTATTTTAGAAAAAAGAAGAAGCAAAAGTTGTTTAAATAGTTTTCTCTTCTTCCTCTGTATTGCATTTATTGTTGTGTTTTGTAGTATTTGTTGGTGAAAAGTCGGAGTAGTGCCTCAATTGCTTATGCATTAAATGTTTGTCATTTGCCTTCAGTCCATTTTTTATTTATTATATTTGCATATCATACACTAGTCTTGGTAGCCACAAAGGTGTTCATGCTTTTCTCTTGATAAGTGTAGTCTCACTTTCAAAAAATTAGTTTTATTGTTTGATGATAAGTTACGTAGATTGTTGACCTTGCATTATTGGTTTCGAGAAAGATTATTTAATAGACCTCCCATAAGTGTTTTGGTTTGGTATGTGTTGTCTACATTTTGTAAATAAGTAACTCTGTCTTATCAAATTTTATTGATCTCTCAAAAATACTAACTTCATACTTGCTTCTTTTCTTTGCATGTAAAAATCTGTCCGAGTCCTCGCAGACTTCATCCTATTTTCCATATTTTCGGGATCTGTAAAAGCTCAGTTTTTTTTGTCCGAGTAAGGCCTATTAAAATCGACGAACAAGTTTCGAAGTTAAAGAATCCGAAGCAAGTCGGAATAGTCAAGGAGATTAGATCGAAGAGACTAAATTTATTTTAATTGTCGTATTGTATTTATTTTGGGCCTAAGCCCTTGTTGTATTTTCTTTTCGTATTCATTTTTTTGTAATTAATTTAGGACAGGTGGAAATGGGTCAATAATCCAAAGCAGGTGGGTCCAAAATCCAGTCAAGGCAGATAGAATCACGGTTTGGGCCCAAAACCTCTCTTTTCTCTCTCTCTCCCTCGTGTCTTGTTGCCTATCTGTTTTATTTGTCGTTATTTCAAAGTTAGAAAGCTCCAAATCCCCGTCGAATGCCATGATGTTTTAGCAACTTAAAATTGAACCAAGTTTTAATAGTTTAAAAATAATTTGTTCATTTATAAGTTTCGCTTAGATAACAACTAAGAAAATCACTTTCAAACAATTTCCAATAAATTTTTTAAGTTAAGTTTTAACCAAACAAAGTTAGTTCTCGGATAGCAGTAAGTTAACGGACGTCTTAGGATCTTTCAAACCTTCCTAAGACGTTAATAGCAGTCCCCGAATCCTTTAATTGTTTTTCACTAGATTTATCTGTTTAAAATCTTTTGAAAACACTTGTTTTCTTAATTTTTTGAAAATTAAGTGGCGACTCTAAAAAATCCGAAAACACTACAAAAATATAATATTTGTCCTTTTCTGAATAAAATAGAAATGACGACTTTGCTGGAGAGTTGGATGATTCTAACCTTAAAACTAACATTATTTGACTATAATTGCTTATTTGTTTACTTTATTATTGATATAATGTTGCATTGTCATGACATTCTTTCGCTAAACGGCAAGTAGTTCGCATTAGAAAAATAGAAGTTACATGGCTTTCCACAGCTTCTTTTAGAAATACACAAAAAGTTCATTTGGAAGTATCAAACGAATAGTAAAAATGCAGTCATCTGAAGTCGTTTGATAGTTTCACCCCGTTGTTTGTCCGACTCAGGTAATCGTCAATTTGAAACAAATCCTAGCAAGCCTAAGATAGAGCGAAATCAAAACAAAAAATTAAGCATTATCCTAAGATGACTTAATACCAAGGAGTATTAAGTCCATTTAGTAAAAAACCGTCAAAACCGTGTCCAAGGTCTCCGACCTCACGACACATTATTTTATTTGACATTTGTATGATGTACGTGTGAAAGCCAATTTGGGGTGGGTAAATCTAACTAGCTTTTGTTTTGTAGATACGGACCATTTTTGTAGTTTGACATGATCATAGCAGCACCACCCCAACTCAAAATATGGTATGACAATCTCGACGGGGATCATAGAAGAACCCTCAATAAATATGTGGGTGCTCTGATAAATGGTTGACCAGAAACGGTTGAGGTCCTCACAAGATATTGGGATAGACAACGGATGGTGTTTCAATTTGGAATTGCTGAAATCACCCCGACTTTGGAGGAGATCAGAGACTGCATAGACATAGTAGGTACTGGGATAGAAAGAAGGGCAAGAAAATAAGAAGACATATTTATCCCTAATAAGCCTTCGATAGAAGATATTCTGGACTGGTAATGATTGGGGAAGAATTTTGCCTATTGGTGCCAAGAATCCCACATATCATTCAGAGATATTTATATCAGCATGCTAACTTCTACACCACTTAAACCCTGAGTTCAAGGTCTCCTATAGAGAATGGAACGAAATTCATCCTCTAGCATTTGTTGTAGAGTTATTGGGAATGAAGGTCTTCCCGCATAGCCCAAGTCTGTGCATCAATAACGGAATTATAACACTCGCGCATACTCTATTCAAAGGGTACGAGAACCAAGGGACAACCGAATACTACCCTATAGCTCCACTCATCCTGTCCGACATGTATCGAGCCTTGGGAAAGTGCAAAGAGGGGGCATCGATACTTCGAAGAATGCAACATACTCCTTCAGTGGTGGATTCTCAGCCACTTGGCAAAGGGTGCCGGGACTCGGAAGCTGCATACTCTCGACAACAAGAACACCCTTAAAGATTTGAATGACATGCTGTTGATATACCATGGTTTCACGGTATTTTTAATACTTTTTCCTTAAATTTAGTGTGTCCTAAAGCCTTTTTGTACTAATTTTTTTGTAAGTTTCTGTTTATTTGCAGGAAATCTGTCTAAAAGATGAATGCAGAGGTTTTTGAGCAAGAAATGCAGAAAAATACCACCTACGAAGCTTGTGACGGTCCGTCGTGCCCGTGACAGTCCGTAGATGGCATCGTAGTGCAGCTGCTAAAGGAAGATGGGGAAGTCTGACCAAGTGTGGTGTTACGGAGTGCATGACGAACCGTCGTAGACATGATGGTACGTCCTGCTTGTTCATCATGAAGATTAAAGAAGTAGTCTAGTACCCAAATTCCAAGAGTTCAAGTGTTATGGAACAAAGACCCCTGACGGACTGTTGTGCCTGTGATGATCCGTCATACCTGACGTTGAGGGTAATGAAGAGAGCAGCAGAAGAAATTGCATAAGTATGGGACGACAGAGTCCATCACGGCCCTTCATGACCACGATGATCCGTCGACCCAACCGCGTTTTAATAGATTTCCAGCAAATAATGTCCTTATTTAATTAGGTTTTTATTTTTTTATAAATAGTTCAAAAAATCTTGTTTTGGGGGTAAGACTCTTGGTTATTTGAGCATCTTTTGTGGATTAGACTTGGTGATTATTATTACATTTCTGGAGAATCTTTAATCTTCAATTAACTTCAATAATTGATTATTGGTGATTTAAGTAAGTGCATGAATTCTTATATTACATATTTGAATATTGTGATTATGACTATGTGTAACTAAACTCCATAACTAGGGTTGTGGAAACCATAGGCGAATAATGAGGTAAAACCTAACTAAAATAACAATTCTAGAATAGTGTCTTGCATGTATTGATAATTCTTTCGCTTAGAAGTCTTTTTAACGGATGGCCAACGTTAGAACTCGCCTTAATGCTACTTGCCGGACCAAGGAGGTAGATAATTTGAAAAGAATTATCAACATAGATTTAGTGTATACTATCTAATAGGCCAGCATTGATTGGTAAGAGGTAATAACTTAGTCAAATATCGAATACGATGCTTAATATGAGGTTAAGGTAAGAGTTAGTATAGCAACACACGTAGCCGGACCATGGTGCGGAGTGAAATTTTCTAGATGCCGGACCAAGGATTTAGAAATACATAACTTATCACTTTACATGCAAGATACTAGGAGAGAATTGTTATAGTTAGAATTATCAAGTTAGGAACCTGCGGGAACACGTAAACCCTAGTTAATTTTATTAATTGATTAAACTCCAACATTTAAAGCTGTTAGTTGTCTCCTTTAATTTAGCTAGTTATTTTCATTTATTTAGAAGTAAAAAAAACCCTTTTATTGTCTTTGCTTTCCAAGGAAATAATTAACTAAATAGTAGTAATAATAGATTGAAGTTAAGTCTGAACTATTTTCCTCTTGGGAACGATCCCAACCTCATTAGTTGAGTTCTTTACTTGATACGACCACTTTACTTCTTATTTGAGAAATAAGTTTGATCGTATCAAATTTTGGCGCCTCTATCGGGGAAAGTAGCTTTTAGATTAACTTAAACTTATTACTATAGTTTAGTCAATATTTTCTTGATTTTACATTGTTTTATTATTTTTTTATTTTTACAGAACCATCATCCTTATATGCCAAATACACGGAGAGTAAGAGAACTCTTGTTTCCCTACGATCACGGATTAGAGCGTACACTACACAACATGAATTGAAACTTGGGTATTAATGATGATGATCTAAACCAGAACATCCCAGCTCCGATTGATGTTCATAGTCAGTTGTTACCCGATGCTCCGGGTGAGAACCAACAGAGGGGACAGAACCCCGCTCCACGTCCCCAAGAATACTACATAGGCTATGACAATATAGCAGACTCCGATGGACCACTTTTCTTGCCCCCTCTACCACCAGGCCACACCTTTGTGGTAACTAGTAGCCTGATGCAAATGCTCACTACCAGAGGTTTGTTTTCAGGGCTACCTTCTGAGTATCCACATGCCCATATAGCTAAGGTAAGGGCAGTGCGTAAAAGCTGTGTAGGGAGGCCTGAATTGGACTTGGATGTAATAAGGCTAAGAGTGTTTCCTCTCTCACTGACAGGAGAGACTTCTATTCGGTTCACTGAGCTCCCTTACAACTCAAGTTTCACTTGGAACCAACTAAGGGATGTTTTCTTACTACTGCCCGGTCTCCAAGAAACTAAACCACAAAGACAGAGTGAACAACTTTGTGGCACTACTAGGAGAGTCAGTTATAAGTTATTAGGATAGATTCACCTCGTTTTTTAGAAGCGTCCCCATTCATTGAATAGATGATGAGTCACTGAAGGAATACTTCTATCGGGGACAAGATGATAATAATAAAGCGGTGTTGGATACTATAGCGGGTGGTTCTTATGGGGAGTGTCCTTATGCTGAGATTGCTGAAAAGTTGGAGAAAATCTCTCGGAACAATAAAGCTTGGAGTACTAGGAAATCAGATACTGGGAGAAACACCTTCACAGTGCAATCCACTCACAACCCAGCCACATATGAGATTCGTGAAGAGGTGGCTCAGATGAGAACTGATCTTGGGTTGGTATTAAAACATATCACTGGGGGTGCAGAAAAGATAAATGCACTTAACTACTTGTCTAAACCACCACCACCAAATGATGAATGCTATATGCGGAGGATTCCTATGCAGTAAATGAGCAGACAGAAGGTTTCCGACCGGGTGTCCAAGTCTCAAATCAGAATAATTGGCGCCAAGGTCAAGGGAACCAAGGTCGGATCTATGGTATATATAATCTTGAGGGTAATTATGTCCAAGATGGAAACTACAACCGCGACAACAACTTCAGCAGGGGTAACTACAATAACAGAAATGATAGTAATGGTCCCTATGTCCCTCCTCAAAATCGTGAAGTTACTCCTAGGGATGGTGGAGATAGTATGGCGCGAGTTGAGGATATGTTGCACAAAATGATGAGGAGGTTCGATTCTAATGATTAGTACATGAAAGAGTTAAGGAGTGATTTAGCGGGTATTGGGCAGAAAGTTGATACATATGCAATATCGATTAATCAGATTGAGTTGTAAATGGACCAATTATCTGCGACTATGAACACACGCCAATCGGGCACTCTTTCTAGCAACACTGTCCAAAATCCAAAAAGTGATGCACACTATATGGCAATCACTAC